TTGGGAGTTGTAGTTGCTGGGATTTATAGTTCACCTACAATCAAAGAGCATTCTGAACTCCAATGAAGGAATTGAACAAAACTTGGCACACTGAACCCCCATGACCAACAGAAAATACTGGAAGGGTTTCGTGGACATTAACTTTGAGTTTTGGAGTTGTAGGTCACCTGCATCCAGAGAGCACTGTGGAATCAAACAATGATGGATCTGGACCAAATTTGACATGAGTACTCAATATGCCCAAATGTGAATACAGGTGGAGTTTGGGGAAAATAGATCTTGGCATTTGGGAGTTTTTGTTGCTGGGATTTACAGTTCACGGCTGAGGGGGAAAAGGAAAGGACCTGAGGCTATTAGAAATTGTGGGAGTTGAAGTCCAAAACACCAGGAGGGCCCAAGTTTGCCCATGCCTGGTATAGATGCCCCTTTAGGTCCCTCATTTTGCCTACTGTGAAAACCACAGCTCAGTTAATGTCATATTTAAAAGGTATCTTGTTTATGTGTAAATACTGCTTAGAAATAGTTTCTGAGGTACAAGGGGGATGTTTGCTTCATTTCCTTCCAGTTAACAATTTCAAGATATCGTTTAAACAGGATGCAGAGCAGGAAAGCCACTGCTTGTTTCTTCACATGCAAAGTGGTGGTGGCACATGTTCCTGTTTGCTGTGCCACATGGGCAAAATCGGTCAAACCCAACCATACCTGCAAATACAGGTCCAGGTATTAGGCAAGGACAGGCAGCAATGGAAATTGGGTGAATATAAAGGCTAACTGGCAAATTCCTAAGTGATGCTAAGCAGGGTCAGCCCTGGTTAATTTTTGGATGGGAGACCACTAAGGTCCCCTTCTACACTGCCACATAATCCAGTTTCTGATCCCAGATTATTTGCTTTGAACTGGATTATAGGGCAATGTTAGGTGCTATGAAATTATGGGAGCGCTAGGTCTACAAGACCTTTCTTTGCCAAAGAGTACTGGTACCTTATCATACTGCAAATCCCAGGATTCCATAGCAATGAACTATATGGTAGTAGTTAAAGTGGTGTCAAGCAGCACTAAATATAATGAAACATACATCTATAAAGACCCCTGTGAACACATCTCACACTATGGCACGTACTTGCCTTGGCAATGAATTCACGGAAACTCTTTCTCTCAATACCATCTTCTCTCTGGAGGAGAAGAAGTGGGAAGTCTGGAGCCATGCTTATTGATCAAGTGTTTCTGAGCTGTGGTCTTTTAAATATGTATATACAGTATACAGTATTCCTCTCCAATCTTATTAATGCTTTAGTGCTCTGTCATAATGGAAGGACTCCAAGAAAGAATAATAGAATCATAGAGTTGGAAGAGACCTCGTGGGCTATCCAACCCTATGCCAAGAAGCAGAAAAATCACCTTCAAAGCACCCATGACAGATGGCCATCCAGCCTCTGTTTAAAAGCCTCCAAAGAAGGAGCCTCCACTACACCCCAGGGCAGAGAGTTCCACTGCTGAACAGCTCTCACAGTTAAAAGGTTCTTCCTAATGCTCGGGTGGAATCTCCTTTCCTGTAATTTGAACCCATTGCTCTGAGTCCTAGAAAACAAGCCTGCTCTCCCTTTGTTATGACATCCTTTCAAATATTTAAGCCATTCAAATACATCCTAGTCTCCAGGGCAGCAGAAAACAAGCTTGTTCCCTCCTCCCTATGAATCCCCCTCACATATTTATACATGCCTCTCAATGTCTCCTCTCAGTCTTCTCTTTGGCAGGCTAAACATACTCAGGTCTTTAAGCTGCTCCTCATAGGGTTTGTTCTCCAGACTCTTGATCCTTTTAGCCACCCTTCTCTGGACACATTCCAGCTTGTCAACATCTCCCTTCAATTGTGGTGCCCAGAATTGGACGCAATGTGATTCCAGATGTGGTCTGACCAAGGTAGAATAGAGGGGTAGCATGACTTCCCTGGATCTAGACCAGGGGTCCTCAAACTAAGGCCCAGGGGCCAGATACGGCTTTCCAAGGTCATATACCCGGCCCTTGCTCAAGGTCAAGCTAAGTCTGAAACGACTTGAAAGCACACAACAACAACAACAACAACAACAACAACAATCCTATCTCATCAGCCAAAAGCAGGCCCATACTTCCCATTGGAATACTAATAAGTTTATATTTGTTAAAATTGTTCTTGATTTTAATTATTATATTGTTTTAAAGTGTTTTTCCACTACAAATAAGAAATGTGCAGCGTGCATAGGAATTAATTCATGTTTTTTTCAAATTATAATCCGGCCCTCCACAGTTTGAGGGACTGTGACCTGGCCCTCTGTTTAAAAAGTTTGAGGACCCCTGATCTAGACACAACACTCCTATTGATCCAGGCCAAAATTCTATTGGCTTTTTTAGCTGCTGCATCAGAGAAAACTTAATTTGCCACTAGAGGGCGCTGTGGCAAAGTGTCAATAAGAAATCTATCAGTAGGCTATGTTGCAAATGGAACATTGATAGATTAGTAACATCTATTCCAAAATGAATATTCCAATTCCGTTTCCTAGATCCTGTTCCTATTTATTGTCAAAGGGACAGTGGGAATCTGTCAGCAGAATATAAGCGAAACATAACTCTTTCCCTTGTGTTCCCTGCAGCTGGTTGTTAGACATTAAGTCTAGTCGTATTCGACTCTGAGAGTTGGTGCTCATCTCCATTTCTAAGCTGAAGAGCCGGCATTATCTGTAGACATCTCCAAGGTCATGTGGCCAGCATGACTGCATGGAGCGCCATTACCTTCTTGCTGAAGTGGTACCTCTTGATCTACTCACATTTGCATGTTTTTGTACTAGGTTTTTAGACTACTTGTCCATATTAGAGAATAAAACTGTTTAACCTACAAAGTGTCCCTTCTTGAGGTACACTGGAACCTTATCTGAAGAATTAAGTTCCTCCCCACACTACAAATCCTCCAATTCCATAGGTTGGAATCCCAGCAATTCAACTGGCTTGGAACCCATATCATAGTGTAGTGTAGACACACACTCGTACTGCATTTCATAATGAAGGAAATATATATTTCCCCCCATTAGTAATGATTGATAGTGTTGTCCACTTTAAGGTTAATTTGGGGTACATGTCTGATCTGTTTTGTATTTATTTACCTGTCCCAATAGTGGGAAGAAATTAATAATAATAATAATAATAATAATAATAATAATAATACTCATAATAATAGTCAGCTGCTGCAAAAAACATTGCACAGATGGACTACAAGCAGAGGCACAACACAGTTGCTCAGATGATCCATTGGAACTTGTGCCACAAATGCCTGCGACAAAAAAGTGGTGGGATCACAAGCCTGAAAAAGTTATGGAAAATGAACATGTCAAATTACTCTGGTACTTCCGAATTCAGACTGACAAAGTTTTGGAGCACATTACTCCTGACCTCACAAATGTGGGGGGGGGGGGGGGGGGACAAATATGGATAATCGATATTGCAATCAAAGCTTACATGATACGAGGATTTAAAGATCGAACTGCATAGACTCTGGCACAAGATGGTCGCAGTAGTGATCGGCACACTGGGTGCAGTGCCTAAAGACATTGGCCTGCACTTAAAAACAATCAGCGCTGACAAAATTGCCATCTGTCAGCTGCAAAAGGTCACCCTACTAGAATCTGATTGCATTATTCGTTGATACATCACACAGTCCTAGACACTTGGGGGAAGCGTCTGACATGTGATCGAATACAGAAGCCAGCACAGTGATCTTGTTTGCTGTGTACCTATCTTTTTGTGTATCAAATAATAATAATAATAATAATAATAATAATAATAACCACACTTTTTATGATATGAAATCCAGCATATAGATCTCATTTGCTGTGACATAATGTGTTTTTGTGTCAGTATAATAATAATAATAATAATAATAATAATAATAATAAATTAATTTGTATAAATCTCTTTTAAATTCTTGGTACTGTCCCCCACCATCCAAACACCCGTACCTACAGCAGTTCGTCATTTTTTACTTTGCATTTATAGTTTTCCTCTTTCTCTCTTTCTTATGGAGCTATTTCTCATAAAATAGGGATAGTCAAAGTGCAGCCCTCCAGATGTTACTAACTATGGGTACATTTATGCTATAGAATTGATGGTTTTTGATACCACTTTAACTGCCATGTCTCATTTCTACGGAACCATGGGAGTTGTAGTTTGGTGAGACACCAGCAAGGATGGGAAAAGAAAGCTAAATACTTTGGAAAATTACAGGTCCTGTAATTCAATAGCATTGAACAATGGTAGTTAAAGTTGTTTCAAACAGCATTGATTTTACAGTGTAGATCAGGCATGGGTGCACTTGGGCCCTCCAGGTGTTTTGGACTCCAACTTCCACCATTCCTAACAGCCTCAGGCCCCTTCCTTTTTCTCCCTAAGCAGCTGAGGGGGGGGGGGGGGGGGAGGTAGGGGCCTGAGGCTGTTAGGAGTGGTGGGAGTTGAAGTCCAAAACACCTGGAGGGCCCAAGTTGGCTCATGCCTGCTTTAAGTCAGTGATTCCAATTGTTTCCAAGTTTGCTCATACCTGGTCTAGATGCACCCTGAGTAGGTTGAAAAGCCATTAGATGCTGTGTTAGGAGAGCTGTAGTCCAAAAGAGTAACTTTTCAAGCTTAAGGTGTACCTTGAAAAAAGGTAACTGGTTGGATATATACTGTGGGGATGCTGGGAGGTGTAGTCCTGATTTAGTACAAGGGAACTTCCTGATGTACCCTACGTATGTTTACGGAGGTGATCACTTAGGCAACTGTCTGTATATACTGCATTGTATGTAGTATGTAGGTGTCTGGGACAGACAAGGGAATTGAGGAGGATTTCTGAGTCCAGCTGAGGCAGTTGGCTATTCTGCTTGAAATTTTCCAGCTGGGCAAAGAGGGAGGTTTCAGCACAACAGGTGAATGGCGGGGCGGAGCAAAGGGAGCATAAAACCTCACCTGTCACAGCCTCTGGAGGGTGGAGGCAGGAATCAGGAAATAAACAGCGAAACCCAACTGGGAGAAGAAGCAAAAAGCAGAAGGAACTGAGACCTGGGCAAGCTTGTTGTCCCCCATCAGAGCTTTGTCTCGTTTGGATTGTCTTTTTTTTGGATTTGTGGATTGTGTTGCTGACTTGCAAGCTCTTTTTCTAGAAAGCATCATTATTCTCCCAATGGGGAACTAGAAGACTGTTTGGTTACCATCTGTCTTTTTGCCACTTCCTTGTACATCATAGAAACCAATGTCCTGGGTTCGAATTTAGCCACCCTGGCTTCCCAATTTGGCCCAGTTTGGTCTGCTGGCTTCCTGCCCTTGGAAATCTATGACAACAAGTGCAGCGTCTTCTATGTATCCCGAGGAGGAGGCCCTTCGTACCCCGTTCACCCCTCCGCCGGCTTTGGGGGATGAGTTTTACCCCTTTGGGGGTGAACCCCAGCAGTCTTTCATGGGGGATATGGCTTCTGTTGACGAGGACCCCGAAGCAGGGGATTTGGGGTTGATGCTGCAGAGGAAAGAGCAAGATTTGCTCCTGGCGGCGGAGCTGGGAAAGATGCTCCTAGAACGCAATGAGGAGCTGGAGCGGCGCAATGAGGAGCTGTCCAAGGAATATATGGAGGCCAAAGAGGTGAGAAGGGGAAGGAGACTGCTATTTATTTATTTACTTAGTTACTTATTTACTGTATTTGTATGCCGCCCCTCTTAGTCCTTAGGTGACTCGAGGCGGTTTACAAGGCAAAATTCAATGGCACAAAAATATAAGTACAATTTAAAAATATTGACATAAATAAAATCATAACAACAGCAATAAAACATAAGTCATTAATGAATTAAAAACATTGTCCAGTCCCATCGTATAGTTGTTCCATTTTCCTATGTCAGCTACTTTGTATATTTGCGAATGTTTGCTCGAAAAGCCATGTCTTGAGCTTTTTTCAAAATATTAAAAGAGAAGAAGCTGATCTGATATCCCTAGGGAGGGTGTTCCATAGCCGAGGGGCCATCGCTGAGAAGGCCCTGTCTCTTGTCCCTGCCAAATGTACTTGTGACGAAGGCGGGACCGAGAGCAGGGCCTCCCTGGACGATCTTAAAGTCCTCGATGGTTCATGCGATGGCTACCCTCGCATTATGGTGGCACATGGGACAAAGTTACATCAGAGTCTGGTCAAGATAGCAAAGGTTATTGTTCAGAAACATCAGACAAGTTTGGAGAAGCTGCAGCAGTTTGCTTTTGCCTTATCATACAGGCCCCAGATCTTGAGCCCTTCCAGACAGACCCTTATATCCCAGAATCTTTTCCCAGGATTTCTGCTTTAAACTGGATTATATAGATAATCTGGGATAAACAGAAAACCTGGGATCAGATCCTGGGATATAAGGCCTGTCCAGAAGCTCTCCTTTTCTCCCTTTGCTGCTTGAAGCCAAATAATATGGACATTTAAAGTCTTTAAGCTGAGGATGAAGGAGATGGAGGGAGGAAGAGAAACTAACTGGGGCATCTTAAAAGAAGCCAAAAAGGTGGGACAATAAGAGGATTTATCAGGAGTGTCTCTAGCTGGTTCTACATTGCCATATAATGCATTATATGTTCAGTGCAGAACCATATAATTCAATTAGAACTGCACTGGATTGCTTTATAAGGTTCTACGCTAATCATATAATGCAATTCAGACTGCATTATATGGCATTGTTGAACCATCCTCTGCCAAATTGGAATATTTGAAGGGTATAGGTAAAAGGACAAGCATATCTCAAAGAACATGGCTTTTTTTCACATGCCAAGTCAGAATTTCATCATAACCTCCTTTGAGTTTCCCAGATCTGGACTCCCCAAACCAGTAATTTAGTCTTCTTTCTACGTTATATGTTTGATGAGCATGATTCTGTGTAACAAATACCCAATATCCCCCATATATATGTTTGAGACTGGTGCATATTTTGCTTGAGATAGAGAGGTTGTCTACAATGCGACCGAATGGCCTATCTAAAGAAGGGATGGTGGACTTCCTTGCTCAGAGTTTGATTAGGTGCTAGCATATTTTGGCAGAAAAAGCTGAAGACCTTGTAAAACTATGTCTCCCAGGATTCCATAGCATTGGCAGTTCAAGTGGTTTTTTTTTTCATGTCAGGAGCAACTTGAGAAACTGCAAGTTGCTTCTGGTGTGAGAGAATAGGCTGTCTGCAAAGACGCTGCCCAGAGGACGCCCGGATGTTTTAATATTCTGTAGGAGGCTTCTTTCATGTCTCCGGCATGAGAAGCTGGAGCTGACAGTGGGAGCTCACCCCGCTCCCTGGATTCTAACCACTGACCTTTCAGTCAGTAGTCCTGCCGGCCTAAGGATTTAATCCACTCTGGTGTGAGAGAATTGGCCATCTGCAAGGACGTTGCCCAGGGGATGCCCGGATGTTTTATCATCCTGTGAGAGGCTTCCCTCATGTCCCCGACATGAGAAGCTGGAGCTGACAGTGGGAGCTCACCTGCTCTCTGGATTCAAACCACTGACCTTTCAGTCAGTAGTCCTGCTGTTTAATCCACTCTGGTGTGAGAGAATTGGCCATCTGCAAGGATGTTGCCCTGGGGACGCCTGGATATTTTACCATCCTGGGGGAGGCTTCTCTCATGTCCCTGACATGAGAAGCTGGAGCTGACAGTGAGAGCTCACCCCACTCCCTGGATTCAAACCACTGACCTTTTGGTCAGTAGTCCTGCCGGCCTAAGGGTTTAATCCACTCTGGTGTGGATTGGCCATCTGCAAGGATGTTGCCCAGGGGACGCCTGGATGTTTTATCATCCTGGGGAGGCTTTTCTCATGTCCCTGGCATGAGAAGCTGGAGCTGATAGTGGGAGCTCTCCCCACTCTCTGGATTCAAACCACTGACCTTTCAGTCAGTAGACCTGCCGGCCTAAGGGTTTAATCCACTGTGCCGCCGAGGGCTGCCTAGTTCAAGTGGTGTCAAAGTGCATTAATTCTACATTGTAGATGCACCTGTGTTTCATCCTTTTTTCTCGCCTCCATTTCCTCTTTCAAATAACCCCTCCACCCCAAGGGTGAAATTGGCAGCTGCCAGTTTCCTCTGGGCATGATGATACCTGTGGCAACTAGTTGAACCAGTTTGGTGTTAAAGAGGGCACTGCCGCCGAGTCAAGGCTGAGCTGGTCATAATTGCTGAAGGGAGAAGGTGACCGAATGGAACAGGGGAGTCGTAGAAAGAAAGCGCCCAGCATGACTCACGTTGGAAGAAACCTCGCCCACCGGCTGTGCCCTTTCGAGATCCAAATATTTCTCTATATTATATAAGGCGGGCGGTAAGTCAACATGTGGCCACTCTTTGGAGATCAAACCGGGCCAGGGGGCATTTTGTAGATATGACATCACCAAAAAGTGAAGCTCATAGTCTTGCTCAACCGGTATTAAATGTGCGTCTCTGTTGTTAAAGTTGGCGTCCTGGCTGGCAGCGTTCAAGGTGTGCCGGAATGGAATGGAAACCAATTGAAAGACTTTCCCCTTGTAGGTGCAAATGTCTTGAGTGCTGCTGGCAGATAAATTTAGCACACCTTCAGTAAGAAATTCTTAACAAATAGCGTTCCAAATGCTCAAGGAAAGGAATATGCACAATACTTAATTTGAGCTTAATGCTCCCTGTCAGGAACATAGGAATTGCTTTGCCTCGTTTGGCCATCCCAGATGTTATGTATATAACAGTTTTCTGCAAGCACCTGCTTTTCAGAGATATAGTTAGCCCTCCACATTTGTAGGTTTGACTTTTACAGAGTTGATTATGGGTTGTGGCGCAGCTGGTTGGGAGTGAGCTGCATTAAAATAACTACTGACCGAAAGGACATGAGTTCCAAGCCAGCCCGAGTCAGCGTAAGCTCCCGACCATTTGTTTAGCTTGCTGTTGACCTTTGCAGCCCGAAAGACAATTGCATCTGTCACGTAGGAAACTTAGGTACCACTTATGCGGAGAGGCTAATTTAACTAATTTATGATGCCATAAAACTCTCCAGCAGCATGCAAAAGAATGAGGAAGTACTCCATCGATGTCACAAGTGGATGGTGAAACAACAGCTCCCCCGGTGGCCGAAATTCCAAGCATACCCTTTGTTAAATAGCCTCTGTGTGTCTGTCTATATATGTTGTGTGTCTATGGCATTGGTTGTTTGCCATGTATATGTGAGCCTAATGCTGCCTGTCAGGAACATGAAATTACTTTGCCTTGTTCAGACATCCCAGTTGTTGTGTATATAACAGTTTTCCTCAAGCACCTGCTTTTCAGTGTATAGTCAGCTTTCCACAATTGTAGGTTTGACTTTTACAGAGTTGATTACAGCTGGTTGGAAGTGAGCTGCATTAAAATAACTACTGACCTAAACGTAATGAGTTCCAAGCCAGCCCAAGTCAGAGTAATTTGTCTAGCTTGCTGTCGACCTTTGCAGCCTGAAAGACAGTTGCATTGGTCACGCGGGAAACTTAGGTACCACTTATGCGGGGAGGCTAATTTAACTAATTTACGACACCATAAAATTCTCCAGCAGCGTGCAAAAGAATGAGAAGTACTCCATTGGTATCACAAGTGGACGGTGAAACGATAGCTCCCCCGGTGGCCGTAATTCAAAGCATACCCTCATGAAGCTGGAAAGTTAAATAGCCTCTGTGTGTCTGTCTATATATGTTGTGTGTCTATGGCATTGAATGTTTGCCATGTATATGTGCATTGTGATCCGCCCTGAGTCCCCTGCGGGGTGAGAAAGGCGGAATATAAATACTGTAAACTGCTGTCTTATTAAACTACACTGGATGACACCAAGTTTAGTGATTACAGTTTAGAAATATGGTAATGAATTCCTAGCAGAAGGGAGACTGGCTTGCATGGCTCATAGCACACCATTTTGATCCTTGTTTTATACTAGCTGCTTTTTATCATCATCTAGTTCTTCTCATCTTCACTCTGGTCTCTCCCAGCGTCTAGAACAAGAGAAGCATGAACTCCGTCGGCACCTCGAGTCGGGTCGGGCCGAATTTGAGACTCGCGTTGCAGAGCTGGAGGCAGACTTGGTGGCCGCCCGAGACCGATTGGGTCAGCAGCGTTTGGAACAGCAGGACACCAGCCGGGAAAGCTCTCAGGCTGTCCTGGACCTTTCGGAGCAGAACCAGCGCCTGGTGGAGCAACTCAGTCAGGTGGGCGTTAGTGTGGCTTGCTTGAGTCTGGGCAGCAAGGGGTTAAGAGCATGTCCAGGTGGACCTAGCCTGTGTCTTCCACAGAGTAGGGCAGCAGTTCAACAGATGAAGCTCTTTGTTCTATTCCTGTTTCATGCTGGCATTTACTGCACCCGTTGAACTGAGCTGAATTGCAATTGCCACCCTATAAAGGTCAAAGAGTCCTCCTTGGTTTAAAAGGAGAGATGTTCACATTTATGGTGGCAATTCCTTTGGTGCTGGGTTTGATTTTAGTGGGAGAAGAGGCATTAATTATATAACAAAAATATATGGAAAGTTACCTTTGAGCTTTGATTACCAGTTCAGTGTGACTATACTGGGACAAGGATTCTGGGAGTTGTAGCCCCTCCAAAATACGTTTCCCAAGCTCTGCAAAAGTTGGATATGTTTCAGTATTGTTTGGGACTTGCATGAAGCTGTCAATGAAGGGAGACCTGGCCTCATCTACATTGACCATTTCATGCAGATTCAAACTGGTATTAAATGAAAACGGTTTTGCTGTGCAAATTATTACGTAGGAAGTCCTGAAACCATTTTGGGGCCAGGATGGAGATTATATGAACCACAGAGCACTGGTGCACATTATGGGCTTTGTTTTGCACTCTCCTGTGGGCAGGCCTGTAGAGAGGTGGTTTTAGGGGTTCAACCCCCCCCCGAAATGTTTCAGATTTTTTTAAAAAACCTGCTTTACTCATGAATTTTAACTGGTTAACCAAATCCCCATGCTAAGTCTATGAGATGCAAAAAATTAAGAGTCCCTCCAGAACTGCAAGCACTATCTCAAGCAAATATTGACAATTTATTCACACTGTCATTACTTGCAGCAATAGCCGATGTAGCGAAGCAACCAAGTTGTGGGGGGGGGGGTTGAATGTTCTCATTAAGGAGGCCAGACTTGGTGGAGGTGGTTGACAGGGGGAGCTGCAGGCTATTGAAGGCTGCTCTGCCCTGCTGTGCTCTTTGCTTCAGCGTGAGCTAGGAGGCAGGTTTCAACCCCCCCCCCGAAATTTTCAACCCCCCCCCCAACCGAAAATTTCAACCCCTCCAAATTTTTTTCTGGCTACGGCCCTGCCTGTGGGAATTAATTGCCTGGATACTGCAGTTTGAAGCTAGCTTCAAAATGCATGAGATGATTGTAGTGGAATGAAAATCATGCGTAGTTCACGTTTGACCAGTCCACACACTGTCTTGCCAGAGAAAAGATATGCCACACAGATGATCAATAAAGAACAAGAAGTTTACTCTTTGTAATGCAGAGCAACATATATACAGTCATGTGAACAATTGCATATACTCACACAATGTCCTTTTTAGAGATATTCAAATGGTCCTTGAGTGTCCGTGCAGCCCAGAAGCAAATCCACCAGCAGTCCAGGAGCAAATCTCTCTCTTCAAAACCTAAAGCACAGCTAAAGCCTAAAAATGTAACTGTTGTCAAAAGTTAGATGAGCCTGTTGTCCCAGGCTCATCTAGCTTTTGGGCATGGCCCAACTAATCAGTTTCATGCTTTGCATTTTCAGTTAACACACACTAACTGATTTTTACCCACACCAACAATGGTCAGTGTAGATGGGCCTCTGGGCTACCATTTAAGAAGCTTGGTCCATTCCCTAATCAACCTTCAGAAAGATTGCCTGCAACAGTTTGTTTTTTCTAAGTGGGATATTTGTGTGTATCAGTTTAAGGGACACTATAATTTCGTTCCTTTCTTCTCTCTCCCAGTCTCTTAAAAGAAGCTGTGAACATTTTGAAACCTGAAACTAGCACAGAAGATGAAGTTGAGCAATGCATTCCCCTCCCTTGGTCTAATATTTTCCTGGAACAGTATTTGTATGCATGCATATCTGTGCATACGCAAAGTACACACCACCCAGATTATTATCACGCTAATGGCACAGCTTCAGCTCGGTGGCAAAGCATGTGCTTCCATGGCATCCCAGATTCAACCACTGGCATCTCAAAATATCAAGCTGGGAAACACAGTGGCCCAATGGAGTGGGAATTTGTAGTCTTTCTAGTATTTGTGAACCATTGTTATTATGTACCTTCAAGTCATTCCTGATTTATGGTGAACCTAACCTAAGGGCAAGATTTGTTCAGAGGGCATTTAACATTGCCTTGCTCTGAGGCTGAGAGAGTGTGACTTGCCCAAGGTTTGTGGTGGAATGAAAATCACGCATAGTTATCATCTTTACCAATGCACACACTGTCTTGTTAGAGAAAAGATATGCCATGCAGATGATCAGTAAAGAATAAGGAGTCTACTCTTTGTTATAAAGAGCAATATATATACAGTCATGTGAACTTTGAAATATCTATATGTCTGTAATAATGTATATATGCCTATAATAATATCTACAGGTCTATAATAATATCTACAGGTCTATAATAATATCCATATGTCTATTATCATGTGAGCATTGATTCACACAAAGTCCTTTGAAAGAGATTCAAATGGTCCTTAGATGTCCATCTGGAAGATCTTCTAGCTGCTCAGAAGAAGAAATACAAACCAACCGTCTGCACAAAAAACGTAAACATGTAACTGTTGCCTAAACTCCCAGGCTCAGCTAGCTTCTCTGGTGTAGCCCAACCAATCAGCTTTATGCATTGTATTTTAAGTTAACACACTTGCCAACTGATTTTTATATGCTCCATGGACATCGAACCCTGGTCTTTAGAGTCATAGACTGGATTTACACTGCCATATAATCCAGATTATCTCCTTTGAACTGGATTGTTCTACATTGCCATATAATCCAGTTCAAAACAGATAATGTGGATTTTATATAGCAGTGTGGATGGGGCCATTCCAACCACTACATCACACTGGCCCTCTTGATGGACTATAACTCCCAGTATCCTTTGCCATTATCTATCCTGGATGGAAGTGATCCATTCAGCCATAGGCTCTGCATCTATCCTAAGCCTAGGCTACACAGACCAATGATCTGACTGAGTCTTTGTACAGCCGCTTCTTAATGCCATGCAAATGCCAGTTCACCGCAACTTCCACAGAAGCAGGTGCGGACAGTAGGTGAGCTGAGCAATGCTGGAAGTTCCATTAGAGAACAAGGAAGGCATTTTAAAGCCAAACAAACCATGGAGTGAGGTCACGCCGCATTGTTGTTACAGCATCAGCACGGACCAGACTGGCAGGTTTCCAGGAATGCCAGAAACAAACCAGGAGGAGGAGGAGAAAATAATGAGTTCATATAAGACAAGCCATATAAGACAAGCCTGCAAAAAGTGCAAAGTTCCTAAAGAGATATCCTCTCATCTGATAGTCTCAGACTATAGTCTCTGCCATCCTTGGACCCTGGCCATGTCAAAGCTGAGCATGATAATAATGCAATATAGCTGTTTCATACTCCCCAAATTGATCTTTTTTATATCTAGTTCAGGCATGGGCAAACGTTGGCCCTCCAGGTGTTTTGGACTTCAACTCCCACAATTCCTAACAGCCTACCGGCTGTTAGGAATTGTGGGAGTTGAAGTCCAAAACACCTGGAGGGCCAACTTTTGTCCATGCCTGAACTGCATCAATCAGATATTGTTGGCATAGAATGAGTCATTCTCTTTCAGCCTGATCTGCTTGCAAGGATTGTTGTGATTTATTTATTTGTTTGTTTATCAAAAACATTGCATAAATTAGTATTAAAAACTGATAAAAATCGAAGGAGCATAAGCGGTGAAATATCTTTTGACCAAAAACGGGCAACAGCAACCACATTGTTTGTAACCTCAAACAATTCTTCCTCTGTGCATGAGGCAGGACATTGCGGACAAAGCATGCAGATGCAGAGTTGTCTGTTCTGCTTCACAGTCGCACAAGGTGAAGGATTCTTTTAGGTAGTGCCATTTTGCCAAGTAGTCTTTTGATCTGACCACTCCATTTCTGAGTCTGTTCAGAAAATTGCCCATTCTTGGTTTGGCCTTGGAGTGTGATAGTAATGATGAAAAAGGGACCCTGGCTTTGAGCTTCTTGGAGGAAAAAGTGAGATATATATTTTAATTACATAAATCTATCTGCCACTCTCGCCAGCTTGCTCATCACGAACAGCGGATACAGGAAGAACTGACGCTATTGCGTGGGGAGCATCGGACTTTGGCACTTAGCAGCACCGAACACACTGCCCGGACGCAAAGCCTGCATGCAGAGGTGAGAAAGTGATCTTTGTTCTGCTACTCAGTCCTTACACCTGGAGGTGCCCATTTATATGCCGCACTTCTCACCCCAAAGGGGACTCCGAGCAGCTTTCTCTCTCTCTCTCTCTCTCTCTCTCTCTCTCTCTCTCTCTCTTTATACACACACACACACACACGAAATATTATATTATTAGCATAGCACAATATCATTTCCCTCTACGAACCTACATGATCCTTTCGATCTTCAGGAAAGGCCCTTCTCTTGCTCCCACCCCCGTCGCAAGCGCGACTTGAGGGGAGGAGGGACAGGGACTTCTATGTGGCGGCCCCTCGACTCTGGAATTTGCTCTCCGGAGAAATTAGACAAGCCCCCACCCCGGCAGTCTTCAGGGAGAGCCTAAAAACCTAGCTGTTCCAGTGTGCCTTCAATGAATGTACAACAATCCCCGTCCTTGACCAAACACTGCATAAAATGCCCTCGGATGCACTTTTTTTCATCCTCTAGTGCAATTAAACCCCATTGTTTTATCCCATCTGAACCTCCTTCTAGATGCACTACATTGCTCGTCTCACCCAGAGTTTTAAACCTATTAATCTTTGCAACTGGCCCTGTCCATTTTTTCCAATTGGAAAAATGTGTCCAATTATTGTGGTTTTATATTGCACTGTGTGTTTACTTTGTATCATTTTTGTATTATTATTATTGTATTATTATATTTTATTGCTGCATTTTTATGTTGTATATTTGCTTTGTTGTAATTGTTGGGCTTGGCATCATGTAAGCCAGTGTTTCTCAACCTTCCTAATGCCGCGACCCCTTAATACAGTTCCTCATGTTGTGGTGACCCCCAACCATAACCCTAACATTATGAATCGCCATGTAAATAATGATCTGCAGGATGTATTTTCATTCACTGGAGCAAATTTGGCACAAATACCCGGTATGCCCAAATTTGAATACTGGTGGGGTTGGCGGGATTGATTTTGTCATTTGGGAGTTGTAGTTGCTGGGATTTAAAGTTAACATGTAAACAAAGAGTATTTTGAACCCCACCAACAATGGAATTGAACCAAAGTTGGCACAGAAAACTCCCATGATCAACAGAAAATACTGGAAGGGTTTGGTGGGCATTGACCTTGAGTATGGGAGTTGTAGTTCGCCTACATCCAGAGAGCACTGTGGGCTCAAACAATGATGGATCTGGACCAAACTTGGCACGGATACTCAATATGCCCAAATGTGAACACTGATGGGGTTTGGGGAAAATAGACTTTGACATTTGGGAGTTGTAGATACTGGGATTTATAGTTCACCTACAATGAAGGAGCGTTCTGAATCCCACCAATGACAGAATTGGGCCAAACTTCCCACACAGAACCCCCATGACCAACAGAAAATACTGTGTTTTCTGATGGTCTTTGGCGACCCCTCCGACACCCCTTCGCGACCCCCTCAGGACCCCCAGGTTGAGAAACACTGATCCAGAGGAAACCTCCTGGGGGAGATGGAGTGGGGTATAAATAAAGATTATTATTATTATTATTATTATTATTATTATTATTATTAATCAATATTACGTATTACTATATTGTACTATATCATTATACTGTAATATTATTAGTACTATTACATGTAATATTACTAATAATATTACAGTATAATGGTATAGTACTTCATGTTAGGGGAAAACCTTTACCTTTTTATTACATGTAATATAAATATATATAATTATAATTATATAAAATTATATAAATATAATATATAATTAAAATACGCCTCTGGAAGAATAACAACACAACAAAAACAAATTTCTTGGTGCCTTGGTTTTTAGGCTTGTTCCTGGAATTATTTGGGGTGCTCGTTCAGATAATTGGATAGATTGCATTCGCTCTAGTTTCTTAGATATGTTTATCATGGTTTTCAGTGGGCAAGCAGATAGTGACTAGTAGATGGCATATTTTCTGTATCTCAAAAACTTAAGCTGATAAAGGAGAACTGGTATCATATTTGGAATCAGCAAGTAAAATATACTCAGAAACAGGTCTAAACTTTGAGGCACCAAAATGTGTGTTGGCCATTGTAATCTATCTATCTGTCTATCTATCTATCTATCTATCTATCTATCTATCTATCTATCTATCTATCTATCTATCTATCTATCCAACCATCCATCCATCCATCCATCCATCCATCCATCCATCCATCCATCCATCCATCCATCCATCCACATAATAAAGTGAAAATATATCTGTGTGCTTGTGGCTGGACTGTTCACTTACACAGACAAGCTCCTGCCTCCACAAACAGCTATAGCTCCCACTGCTCAGGAGACACCAATGGCCTTGCCTCAAGTGAAATTGCAGGTTATAGTGAGCGCCACAAACATGTCCAAGAGCCCTGCCAATGTCCTCCACAAACACTATACTGCCCACCACCCAAGTGAAGGCTTTCATACTGGGACCATTTCATCCTAGATTTTCTGTTTTTCCTCCACCACAGACATCCCAGTGTTTCTTACTCTCTCCATTGGTGTGGAATTTGCATGGCCCCGCCCACTGCCTCTCCTTTAACCCTTTCCTATTCTTTTCTATGGCACACAGCAAACAGAGGAATTGATCAGCACCTGAACATCCTAGAGAGGTCTGGGGAGAATTCATCGTAGTTTATAACAGTTGTCGGTCCTGGGATGTATAGTTCTCCTGCAATCAAACTGGATTAAATCTACTCCTAGAGATTTTTAGGGAGAACACTTCTCTAGGAATCTGTAGATCTTCCAGTGTGATGTTATAGTAACTTATAGTGCAGGTTCCTTGAGAAATGTCCTGTCAATTTGAAAATAATTAAATAAATAAATTTACATTTATATTATTTACTTTCGCTGGAAAGAAGGGGCAGTTGAAACCCTTGCCCCAGTGAATGAGGAGGGCTGACTGTATAACACATAATGAACTCAGAACCCTACTGCAATGGAAACCATGAGAGGTAACTTCCCAACATCCTCATCTTATTCTGAATAGGATGAGTGAGTTGGATGTCTCATGAGATGTCATATTGGATGTGCCACTGAAGCATAACAAGCAGCCAATGCCAAATAAGGGGTGGATTTTTTAGATTTTCTGCTGGAAAGTCTTGTGCTGACCCCATAATAGGACATGGTCCTTCTATATAGAGTTGCAAGCAGTTGACAGTTGAGCAGGAGTAAGTGTTCAAGGATCTCTCTTGGTAGCAAGTTGAACATTGGTTTTCCTGCCGACTTCTTCCCCAGAATCTTATGTTACAAGAGCGGAAGCAAGATCTGGAGAAACAGACCCAGCATCTCCGGGAAGAGAACGATTCGATCCAGGCTTTGGTGGACACGCTCCATGACAACCTCCTCCTTCTCCGCAAAGAGAGCCACGAGAAGGAACTAAGGGTATATATTTACATAACTACTAAATATTCATATTATGGGAGTTTTAAACTGGAAGAAGTATTTGGGAGTGAGTAAATGTAGAAAAACAAGGAACACATGAGTCGGTTCAACAAAGAATGAGGAAGAAGGGATTGTGGACTTGCTTCTCATGAAGGAACCATTTCCCACATTATTTCAATTTGTCATAACAAACTAATTTCTCATCCAAAGCTACAGCAGGTAGAAGTGGAGGCGGAGGAGCTTCGGGTCTCCAATCGTCGATTGCAGCATCAAGTCAAGGAGATGAAAGAAGAGATCCACCTCCACGATTTGGACACTTCAGTCACTTCCATCCAGTCCGAGATTAATAATAGCTTGGAGGATGCCCCCGGAGCACCTGGGCAAGCTTTTAAGGTATGCCAGGACTGGGTTGTGGCATAAAGCTCACTTGTATGTCCCAGAGACACATTTCTCAGTGTCAGAAGAACCCTACAAAGTGTGTCAATCTCTTTTTCATGTTTTTATGATAAAACCAATTAGGAAATGACATTTATAACCCAGCAACAAAAATTGTGTTACATAGTAGTTGTTGGAAAGGAAGGAAGGAAAAATGGAGGGAGCAGGGAGGGGGGTGAAAGAAAAAGGAGGGGAGAAAGAAAGGAAAAGAAAGGGAAGGAGGGGGAGGGAAGAAAGAAGAAGAGAAAGAAAGGAAGGGATGAGGGAGGGAAGAAAAGAGAAAGGGAGAAATAAGGAAAGAAGGAGAGAAAGAAAGAGAAAGAAAGAAAGAAAGAAAGAAAGAAAGAAAGAAAGAAAGAAAGGGTGTATAAGAAAAAATGAGGAAGGAAAGAAAGAGCCACAAAGAGACCCTGCCCAAAGCAAGTTGCCTTGCTGTAGACATTGTTGGAAATAGCAACCTCCTCAAACCTTCACTAGTTATTTGTTATGTATATAATTGCTTACTGTATTGTATGTGTGTTTTGGTTTGCAATTTTACCTAACCTCTTTGTTGTGGGAGGGGCTGCAGACCATGTGATCAGATCTGGATGTGTTCAGGACTTGAGACTCAATTTTAGATCAGTGTTTACTTTGGGAAGCCATGTAGAGAAGTGTGTGTTTTCGTTATAAGCAGTGAGTACAGTTATACAGTTTAGACTTCAGTAAGATATAAGCTTAAAAACTCCATTAGACTATGGACTATTGTTTCTAAGGAAGATGCCCTGTGTTACCTATACAGAGAAACTACTTAAAATCTTATTATAACTGGATTCATAAGCAAAGTGTTTGTATGCTGTATACAAGAAGTTTTTAAAGTAAACTAAAAAACACTTTTAAAGAAGACTGTTTATTTTGTCTCTTGAAAGCCAACTGCACCCATACCTTGGGAAGTCTGACTTGGCCACAGTAGTCCATGTTCTTGTTACATCTCGTTTAGATTACAGCACTGCGCTCTACTTGGGGTGGCCTTCGAGACTGTTCGGAAGCTGCAAATAGTCCAACATGCTGCAGCCATGTTTTTAACTGGGGTGTCGCACAGGGAGCATACAACCCTCCTATTGCAGCAATTTGACCAGTTGCCTACTAGTTACTGAGCACGATTCAAAGTGCTGGCTTTAGCCTATAAAGCTTTAACGGCTCCGGTCCAACTTACCTGTCCAAATGTATCTCCCTCTATGAACCAGTGTAGATTAAGATCTTCCGGGAAGGTCCTGCTCGATCCCACCGACCTCACAGGTGTGGCTTATGGGGATGAGGGACAGGGCCTTCTCGGTGGTGGCCCCACGGCTGTGGAACTCCCTCCTGAGTGAGATCAGGTTGGCCCTCTCCCTCCTGACCTTTAGACCTGGCTGTGGAACTAAATGTCTGGCCCATAATAGGAATATTTAAAGTGAAAGTTGAAAGTGCAGTGACCCAGGACTGTTTATGGACAATGGCTATGTCTTTGTGTGATATGTGATGTTTTATCAAGGGGGGGGGGTCAATTTCGATGTTTTATACTGTTTTCTATCAATGGCATTTAATTATTGCTAACACTGTGAACTGGCCTGAGTCCCCTTCAGGGTTGAGAAGGGCAGTATACAAATACCATAAATGAATGAATGAATGAATGATTTAAAAGTAAATTTATTTTAAGGGAGAGTAGATGTTTTTTGGGCAACTAAAGGGACAGTCTGAAACTCTGCTGAATATATGTTTTTGTGCATTGGCATGTCTTTGTCCCTAGCAGTTCAAAGATATACGTAGGTACATCAGTTTAACAGCTGAGAGACCTAGTTGCTAAGCATGAATGCTGGTGAACATCACTTTTCAAAAGGTTATGACTTCTAACAAGGTCATACCTTTCCTTTGATCATTGATTTTCCAAAAAGGTTATGAATCCCATTTCCCAAATGGTTATGGAGATTCACATTTTCTAAAAGGTTATGGTACCATTTTTCCAAAAGACATGAGGCAGGCCTTTTCAGAGCTGCAGAAGGGAGAAAGCAAGCAGGCGCTGCCCCGTTTGACACCTGGGCAACACCAGGTATATATACTAGTTACTTCTTACTAGCAAAAAAACCCCCAAAACTTTTTGATACTGGGGATTTCAGATAAGGGATACTCAACCTGTATTATGTAAGGGTGTTGTTGTTGTTCATTCGTTCAGTCGTCTCCGACTCTTCGTGACCTCATGGACCAGCCCACGCCAGAGCTCCCTGTCGGCCGTTACCACCCCCAGCTCGCTCAAGGTCAGTCCAGTCACTTCAAGGATGCCATCCATCCATCTTGCCCTTGGTCGGCCCCTCTTCCTTTTGCCTTCCACTTTCCCCAGCATAATTGTCTTCTCTGGGCTTTGCTGTCTCCTCATGATGTGGCCAAAGTACTTCAACTTTGTCTCTAGTATCCTTCCCTCCAATGAGCAGTCGGGCTTTATTTCCTGGAGGATGGACTGGTTGGATCTTCTCGCAGTCCAAGGCACTCTCAGAACTTTCCTCCAACACCACAGCTCAAAAGCATCTATCTTCCTTCGCTCAGCCTTCCCTAAGGTCCAGCTCTCACATCTGTAGGTTACTACAGGGAATACCATGGCTTTGACTAGGCGGATCTTTGTTGCCAGTGTGATGTCTCTACTCTTTATGATTTTATCGAGATTGGACATTGCTCTCCTCCCAAGAAGTAAGCGTCTTCTGATTTCCTGGCCACAGTCTGCATCTGCAGTAATCTTTGCACCTAGAAATACAAAGTCTGTCACGGCCTCCACATTTTCTCCCTCTATTTTCCAGTTGTCAATCATTCTTGTTGCCATAATCTTGGGTTTTTTTTGATATTTAGCTGCAACCCGGCTTTTGCGCTTTCTTCTTTCACCTTGATTAGAAGGCTCCTCAGCTCCTCCTCGCTTTCGGCCATCAGAGTGTAAGGGATCCCCATGAAAATATGTCCCTTATGCTTTGTTTTAGCTGCTGACCAATGGCACCGGGAAGCCTGGTCCTCCTTCCACGGCTCCTGCGTCACATCGGAGATCAGAGGAAGAAGAAGCTGAATACATGAAAAGGGTCTCAGCCTTGACTCAACAGGAACAAGATATATTGAGGCAGAAAGAAACAGAGATAATGAAACTCCAGGATCAGGTAGGGTGCGCTCTTCTTCCTAGGTCTGTGGTTCCCAACCTTTTTTTGACCAGGGATCACTTTGACCAGGGACCACTTTCCAACATTAGTACCAAAAGCGTTATGAATCTGTTTTTGGTCAACTTTAGATTTGCTTTGGTTATTTGGTGTGCTGATTCAGAAAATTGCATTGGATAGACCACATTAGCTCTAGTTTCTGATACAGAACATATGCCATCCGGTAGTCGCCATCTGCTCACCCATAGAAAACAATATTTAATAATCTAGAGCCAATGTTGTAGTAGTTTCTGGGTAGTCAGCCTCTCCCTCCCAACATCCCTGTTGCCTCAGCTATAAGAGGTTTTGTGAGACCGGTTTTAATTTTACTATGCATGTGGTGTAAAAGCCAAATGCTTTTGGAACATATGTGAATTTTTGGGTTGTTGTAGGTTTTTCGGGCTATATGGCCATGTTCTAGAAGCATTCTCTCCTGACGTTTTGCCTGATGCCTGCCATAGATGCAGGCAAAACGTCAGGAGAGAATACTTCTAGAGCATGGCCATAGATGCAGGAAAACATCAGGAGAGAAATGCTTCTAGAACATGGCCATATAGCCAAAAACCTATTGTTCATATGGTCATATAGCCCGAAAAACCTACAACAACCCAGTGATTCCAGCCATGAAGGCCTTCGACAAGACCCTATTTTCTTCTTGCGTACCACTGGTGGTTCACGGACCACAGGTTGGGAACCAATGTCCTAGTCAGTAGTTCTCAACCTGTGGGTCCCCAGATGTTTTGGCCTTCAACTCCCAGAAATCCTTACAGCTGGTAAACTGGCTGGGATTTCTGGGAGTTGTAGGCCAAAACACCTGGGGACCCACAGGTTGAGAACCACCGTCCTAGGTAAAGCAAGAAAGGTAGCATGGAGTTATGTCTCTTTAAATTTATGTAAATGTATTGCTTCAGAATTTCCTTTGAGCTACTTAATCTATCTGGCATTATCGCCTACACAGTGTTTATATAGGAACATGATTACAACAGGAGGTAGCTTGTTTAGAAAGAACCTATTCATAAGTGTTATATTGCCCCCTGGGGTGCAATTGATTAAACCCTTGTGCTGGCAGGACTGCTGACTGATAGGTCAGTGGTTCGAATCCGGGGAGAGTATGTTGAGCGCCCTCTGTCAGCAGATGGCCAATTTGCTTACACCAGAATCAACTTGCAGTTTCTCAAAAAAAGTTGTTATATACCAGGTATGGGCAAACTTCGGCCCTCCAGGTGTTTTGGACTTCAACTCCCACAATTCTTAAAAACCTCACATCCTTTCCTTTTCCACCTTAAGTGGCTGAGGGGGGAAATAATAATAATAATAATAATAATAATAATAATAATAATAATAATAATAATAAATTCTTTATTTATACCCCACCACCATCTCCCTAGTGGGGACTTGGAGCGGCTTACATGGGGCCAAGCCCAGACAACATATTACAGCAAAATAGAAGCAAAGCATAAACAACAAACAACATCATCAAAATTACATAGAAAAAAAGTATAATGTAGTCATAAAAAAAACAATAAAGGAAGGGGCCTGGGGCTCTTGGGAATTGTGGGGATTTAAGTCTAAAACACCTGGAGGACTCAAGTTTGCGCATGCGATTTCAGCCATTATATATGTTATTTTCCATTTTATATGTTCAGTATGATATTGATTTTACTGCTGTATATATTTTAATTTTTTATTGTTCATATGTGTTATAAATGTTACATTTATTGTTTATTTCTCCATAAATGTAATATTGATTGGTTATCGGTAGTTGTTGTATATTTGGTTTTTAAAAAATATGATGGTTGCGTTTGTGTTTTGTGTAAACATATACACAGCCATAAAATGTAAAAAGTAGCAGAGCATGATTTTTTTTCTTGAAATATCTTTTCTTCTCATTCCGTTGTCTAGATTACGTTGCAGTACGTGGAACTCTTCAATTTAAAGTCTGAAATAGAGAACCAGAGGCGTCTGTACCAAGAGAGCAACCGGGATGAGGCTTTGAAATTAGCCATAGCAGAACGGGATGAGGCTATCATAAAGTGAGATATCCCTGCATTCCTTTTCAATCTATTATTTTTACACATGAGTGCATAAGCATGATATCAATGTCAACAGACATCTATCATTGGTACTTGTGTTAGTAGGGGAAAAGCACAGCATCATGGATAGCACCCACGACTATGAAAAGAGTCCAATATGAGCCAACTTTTGCACTCTTCTAAAAACAGTTGATGCACATTTATATCTAAAAGTAAAGGTAGAGGTTTCCCCTTGACATTAGTTGTGTCCGACTCTGGGAATTGAAGCTCATCTCCATTCCTAAGCCGAAGAACCAGTGTTGTTCATAGACTCCTCCAAGATTATGTGTCCAGCATGGCTGCGTGGAGTGCAGTTACCTTCCAGCCAAAGTGGTACCTACCTATTGATCTACTCACATTTGCATTTTCGCATGTTTTCAAGATTGGCAGAAGCTGGGACTAACAACAGGAGCTCACCCCACTCCCCAGATTCAAACTGTAACCTTTCGGTCAACAAGTTCAGCAGCTCAGTGGTTTAACCTGCTGTGCAACCGGGGGCTCCAGACATGGTTTGCATCTTCACTGTGAAATGAATGCAGATTGGCACCGCTTTAACTGCCAATCTGCAATGCTTTGAGTTGTAGTTTGGTGAGGCAGCAGCATTCTTTAGCTGAGACAGTTGAATACCTTATACAACTTCATCTCCAAGCATTCCATAACATTGAGCCATGGCAGTTAAAGTGTTGTCAAACTGCATTAACCGAGCAATGTGGATGCCCCCTCAGCATAGGGAAGAATGTTTATGCCTAAACCATGAAAGAGTGACATCTTCAGGTCATAATGGGAACTGCATGCAGTTCTTTGTCAACACCAACTGGGCACTGCCAACACACTAGCAACACCAGAGGCATTCCAAGTGGCCAGCTATTATTATTATTATTATTATTATTATTATTATTATTATTATTATTATTATTATTATTATTATTATTTAGAACTTTTATATACCAGTCTTCTCAACCTCCGCAGAGGGACTCAGGCCGGTTCACAACAAGAGATTCATAAACAATAGTTTAAAATATCACCTCACATAGTGTACTAATACATAAAATACATTAAAATACAATCTACTGGTCAAAGGACATTTAATCAAATACCAAGTTTGCAAACTTTGTGTTTTGTCTGTTTGTCTGTCTGTTTTTCTTTTTTTTAATGCAATACAATTGTTTGGTTTGCTTCTGACACGATAAATAAACCAGACTAGATCTATATTGCCATTTGGAACTAGATCATATGGTCAATGTAGACCTATATAATATGTAGACCCATATAATGCAGTTCAATACAATATAATAAAGTTGATTTGCATTATATGGGTCCATGACTGTATAAATAAACTTTGTAAATATGCTTTATAACTTGAGACTTTGAATATAATTACAGTATGTTCTGCAGCCGAACAAGTGGGGCTATATCCATGAAAGCCCCTATTAGTGTTAAAAATGCTGTCACATTCCCTCTGCACCTCTGCTTTGCAAATGTATTGCAAGAATGGACGGAAGGAAGATCTAAGCCTGCTGTTAGATCTATAAATAGTTTGCACAACAAAGTGAATATTTGTGACACTTTCTAGTCTAACATATATTTTAGCATATACTGGGAGAGACATTGACAGCTTCCTCTTTTAAATGACTACAACAGATAATAATAGTAAGTCTGCCAACACATTCTTCTCCCCAAACAAGCAAGGAACAGTCCCAATTACTTTTGAGTCATCCCAACAGCTTCTGAAATGTCCCAGTTCTTTCTCCTCTCTTGTCCTCACTTTGCTTTTTCTATTTGCAAACTGAGGCTAGATCTCCATGGCTATTTAATACAATTTGAAATGGCATTATATGGCCAGCATTTAATTACACTGGTATGCATCCTGCTTTGTTGTTGAACATCTGTCTTTGTTATGTGCTCTACACCATCTTAACCTCAATTATTTTAGTCAGATTTTCAGATTTTCAGATTTTAATATTAATGTCAAAAATACGTAGTATGATTTTACATAGGATTTGTGCTACATTAGAACAGTAAAGACAAATATCACTTAAGTAAAATAAACATTAAATATTAAATAACCGAAAAATAAAATAAGGTGTAAACACTAAACTAATCTGGGAATCTGCTATTGCAACACATCCAGTGAAGTGGTTTAAAACCAGTATGTTAAATGTGTTGATTGTATTGTGTCATGTTTATTTAAGCTGGGTTTTTTAAAATTTGTTATATATTTCACTAGCATTGAATGTTTGCCACTGTGTTTTATATTGTTGTAAGCCACCCTGAGTCCCCTTGGGGAGATAGGGCTGGGTGTAAATTAAAATTGTTGTTGGTGGTGGTGTTTTGATGATGGTGGTGATGATGATGATGATGATGATAATTATTGAGTTGCATTACATGAATCTACAGTGACCAGCTTCAAACTGCATTCTATGGCAATGTAAATGGGGCAGTAGCATGTCCTGTTGCCTTAGGCTGGAGCTACATTGCCATTTAACTGCATTGAACTGGATTATATGAATCTACACTGCCGTATATGTTGGAAATAGCAACCTTCTACAAGCCTCCTATACTAGTTATTTGTTATGCATATAATTCAGATTGCTTGCTGTATTGTATGTGTGTGTGTTGGTATGCAGTTTTCCTTAACTCTGTGTTGTGGGAGGGGATGCAGACCATGTGATCTGATCTGGGACTATTCAGACTCAGACTCCATTTTAGAAGTCTGTAGAAACAGAATGCTTTAGAGACACCATTAGACTTTCAGACTAAAAAGACTTCATTAGACTCTCAGAACAGAGAGATGCTTTAGACCAGTAGTTCTCAACCTTCCTAATGCCACAGCTCCTTAAAACAGTTCCTCATGTTGTGGTGACCCTCAACCATAAAATTATTTTTGTTACTACTGCATAATTGTAATTTTGCTACTGTTATGAATTGTAATGTAAATATTGATATGCAGGATGTATTTTCATTCATTGGACCAAATTTGGCACAAATACCCAATATGCCCAAATTTGAATATTGGTGGTGGTAGGGTTGAGGGGGTTGATTTTGTCATTTGGGAGTTGTAGTTGCTGGGATTTATAGTTCACCTACAATCAAAGAGCATTCTGAACTCCACCAACAATGAATTTGAACCAAACTTGGCACACAGAACTCCCATGACCAATAGAAAAATACTGGAAGGGTTTGGTGGGCATTGACCTTGAGTTTTGGAGTTGTAGTTCACCTACAACTCCAGAGAGCACTGTGGACTCAAGCAATGATGGATCTGGACCAAACTTGGCACAAATATTTAATACGCCCAATTGTAAACACTGGTGGAGTTTGGAGAAAATGGAGCTTGATATTTGGGAGTTGTAGTTGCTGGGATTTATAGTTCGCCTACAATCAAAGAGCATTCTGAACCCCAACAATGATCAAATTGAGCCAAATTTCCCACACAGAACCCCCATAATCAACAGAAAATACTGTGTTCTTATAGTCTTTGGCGACCCCTCTGACACCCCCTTGCGACCCCCCCAGGGGTCCTGACCCCCAGGTTGGAGAAACTTTGGACTGTTGATTAAGAAAGATGCCCTGTGTTATCTACACAGAGAAACTACTTCAAATCCTATCTGTAACTGGATTGATATGCAATGTACCTGTATGCTGAATACATGAAGTTTGTGAGTAAACCAACTATGTTATTTTAACGAAGACTACTTTATTTTTGGTCTCTTGAGAGCATGATTTAAACCAAGATGTTTTAAGGTGGAGTAGATATTTTGAATGGCATTTTCCAAAAATATCATCCAGTTCAATGCAGTTAAGCTTCATTATATGGCAGTGTAGATCTATCCTTACATTTCAGGCTTGTTGCAATGGTCTTGACTTTAATATGTGTGTTTGTGTGCATGTGTGTGTGTGTGTATATATATGTGTGTGTGTGTGTGTGTGTATGTTCATTGCTTACAGTTCTTTGCATTTCCTCTGCCTGCTAGGAAAGGCGAGATGGAGCTGGAAATGGCCAAAGTCTCTCTGGAACGGGATTCCTTGAGCCAGCAGTTGCTGCGGGTCATACGGCAGAAGATGGCACTTTCCCAGGAGCTGGAAGCTTGGCAAGTGAGTAAGCAAACATCAGAAAATATTTCTGGAGATTTTATCCATAACATTGGCAGCTGTCCTTCTAGTTTTGAATTCTGTAAGTTGGGGTGGACCAAGCGATGTTCCAGGAAACCTTTAAGTAGTAACAGATTCCAATTTTCTGAAATCCCCAATGGCCAGGAAAATGAGGCTTTGGCTCATGGTCTTGTTTAATATATTCCAGCTTCAGGCAGTGACACAGCTGGGATGAGCGTGAGAATTGTTGATCCCGTCCCTACATTCACCATTTGTTCCAAGGCCACTTTGGAGATTAATTCTGTTTCTGAATTTTCCAACAGAAAATACAGGAAGGGTTTGGTGAGCATTGATTTTGAGTTTTGGAGTTGTAGTTCATCTATATCCAGAGAGCACCGTGGACTCAAACAATGATGGATTTGGACCAAACTTGGCACAAATACTCAAAATGCCCAATTGTGAACACTGGTGGAATTTGGGGAAAATAGACCTTGACATTTGGGAGTTGTAGCTGTTGGGAGTTATAGTTCACCTACAATCAAAGAGCATTCTGAACCCCACCAATTATAGAATTGGACCAAACTTCCCACACAGAACCCCCATGACCAACAGAAAATACTGTGTTTTCTGATGATCTTTGATGACCCCTTTGGTACCCCCTTGTGCCCCCTCCCCCAGGGTCCCAACCTTCAGGTTGAGAGATGCTGTCCTAGAATAATTGGATTCCAGGAAATTAGTGTTACTTATTTTTCCTTTCTTCCGGCTCACAGGATGATATTCAGTACATCATTCACCAGCAGTTGCTCCAGAAGCATCAGGAAGAGAAGGCTCACCCTGTCTCCAATCCGCCAAAGACTCCTTCCAAAGAACAAGGCAAGAACCCTCCTTTATTTCGCCGTGGCACCAGCACTTCCAGTGGCAACAGCTTCTTCTCCCTTTTCCGGAAAAGTTGAAGGTCCCAGGGGTGTGGGCAGGTTTCCACGAAAACAGGAAAGGTGGTGGAGGGAACATATGAAATGCCAGTGCGTGTACAAAGCCAGAGTAAGGGCAACTGAATGGTGAGGGATGTAGTTGCTCAAGGTGAAGCTTTATGGGGCTGAAACATGTCAAATGTATGTGGCGCAACAATGTGTTAGAGTGGGAAGAAGAACCATTTTGTAGATCCAGCTCAATATCATATATCAAGCTTAGGCCAATGTTACAGGTCATTAAATCTGATCAGGGCTTCAACCCAGGCTGTTAGTGAACTATCCAGAGTGCTGAACCCGGTTCTCTTTAGACTTCGGACTAAAATCCAAAGCAGTGTCCACATTCCTTGTAATGTGGAAGCCACCACAGCAGATAACCACTCACTGGATAGGTTTGGTTGGAAATCTACAATTAATGCATGACTTCGGGTTGCTGTGAATTTTCCGGGCTGGATGACTATGTTCCAGAAGCATTCTCTCCTGATATTTTGCCCACATCTATGGCAGGCATCCTCAGAGGTTGTGAAGTCTGTTGGAAACAAGGGTTTATTTATCTATGGAATATCCTGGGTGGGATTCCCCCAGGCAGGAAGCAGCCAGGCTTTGAAGCTGCAAGGTCATTCAATGCTAATCAAGTTGGCCAATGGTGACATTCACACTTGCCTCAAACAGACAAGATTTTTTTTCTCCCACCCTGGACATTCCACAGATATGGACATTCCACGGTAAGGAGGGGGACAAGCAAATCTCACTGCCATAAATGTGGGCAAAACGTCAGGAGAGAATGCTTCTAGAACATGGCCATACAGCCCAGAAAACTTACAGCAACGCAGGGATTCTGGCCATGAAAGCCTTCAAGAACACATGCATGACTTTCCTTTATGCTCAATATGGGTGGGACTAGCATGGATAGAATTAAATCAATTTTTTTTTAGACTGTAACTCATGGAATCCTTCAGAATTCAGGGCATTGTAGGTAAAGAAAAGAGAATGTTTCTGATTGTAGGATGCCAGTAGCTAAAGAGGGGATAAAGGTACAGAGTGAGCCTTGATCCTCTTTAAGGAGCAACTGTTCTACACATAGACTCAAGGGTCACAGCTTTTTCCAGTCAATAAGGCAAATGCTATGGATCAATCACTGAGTTATATTTGGAAGCACAATTTTTTAAAAAGGTCATAAGCACATGGTGATAGAGTGGACCACTCTACCACAATGTGATGCTGCAGCTTAAAAAGCTAATGGGATTTTGGCCTGCATAAATAGGAGTATAGTGTCTAGATCTAGGGGAGTCATGCTACCCCTCTATTCTGCTTTGGTCAGACCACACCTGGAATCACACTGTGTCCAATTCTGGGCACCACAATTTAAGGGAGATGTTTACAAGTTGGAATGTGTCCAGAGGAGGGTGACACAAAGGATCAAGGGTCTGGAGAACAAGCCATATGAGGAGCGGTTTAAAGAGCTGAGCATGTTTAACCTGAAGAAGAGAAAGCTGAGAGGAGACATAATGGCCGTGTAGAAATATGTGAGCGGAAGTCATAGGGAGGAGGGAGCAGGCTTGTTTTCTGCTGCCCTGGAGATTAGGATGTGGAACAATGGCTTCAAACTACAGGAAAGGAGATTCCACCTGAACATTAGGGAGAACTTCCTAACTGTGAGAGCTGTTCAGCAGTGGAACTCTCTGCCCCGGAATGTGGTGGAGGCTTCTTCTTTGGAGGCTTTTAAGGCTGGAGGGCCATCTGTCAGGGGTGCTTTGAATGTGATTTCCAGTTCCTTGACAGAAAGGGGTTGGACTGGATGGCCCACGAGGTCTCTTCCAACTCTATGATTCTATGGACAGGGAGGTGGCTTCCATTGCCATTAATTATAATAATGGGCCAGCTACATTCACGTGAATACATGGAGCTACCTTTCCAGCTAGTCATATGATTTGCTGGTAGGATGATTTTCTCCAGACCTATAGGGTGATACCGGATGTTCTAAGCTTCTCAACATTTTAATTAAAAAGTTTATTTTGGTCTTCTTCTTCTTCTTTTAATACTTCTAGCCTCCCAAAACCAGTTGGCCAGGCTGTGTTCCAAGTTCTAAAGTTGTCCCGCCTTGCTGACCAGTCAGTGGTATGATTCATCTAAGTGGATTTTTTTCCTTAAATTTCTATGGATACATCAGCATCATCCAGTTTTTACCATGCTGAGCTTTTGGGCTGATTTAGCCTGAAACTCAGGTACTGATTCCTTATGTCCTTGTAGAAACTCTGGGCTAAAGCATAACATTTATCTTCTTAGTACAGTGTTTCTCAACCTGTGGGTCCCCAGATGTTTTGGCCTCAACTCCCAGAAATCCTAACAGCTGGTAAACTGGCTGGGATTTCTGGGAGTTGGAGGCCAAAACAGCTGGGGAGCCACAGGTTGAGAACCATTGCCTAGTACATACATTTTACATTGACTTCTTCTAAAAAGGGCTGTTGAAGGTATCTGTCTGAATGTTATTTGGAGGCTTGTATTTACATTCTTCAGTGGCACTTTTCACTGTATCTGCACTTTAATTTCTCTTACAGCCAGAGAGCTCACATTCACTGGGGTTTAGGGGCACAGGACCCCAATGGAAGGGAAAGCTACAAATAATTAAAAAAATAATTAATCCGAGAGAACATTTGTCAAGGAATCTCTAGGTCAGAGCTTTCCAAACATTTTGTGTTGGTGGCACACCTTTTAGACGTGTCATTTTGCGACACAGTAATTCAGTTTTACTAGCAAACTGGAAGTTAAACTAACCCCTCATAAGATATATCTACACATGCATAAATGCTGTGAGTTTTCTGGGTCGTATGGTCATGTTCCAGAAGCATTATCTCCTGACTTTTTGCCCACATCTACAGCAGGCACCATCAGTGTGAATGTTGCAATTGCCAACCTTGATTAGCATTGAATAGCCTTGCAGCTTCAAAGCCTGGCTGCTTCCTGCCTGGAGGAATCCTTTGTTGGGAGGTGTTGACTGGCTCTGATTGTTTCCTGTCTGGATTTTCCCTGTTGTTCTTTATTCACTGTCCAACAAAGGATTCCCTCAGCCAGGAAGCAGACAGGCTTAGAAGCTGCAAGGCTATTCAAGATGGCCAATTCAACATTCACACTTGCTTCAAACAGACAAGAGCTTTTTCTCCCACTCTGGACATCCCACAAATATATAAACCTCACTTGCCTAGTTTCCAACAGACCTCACAACCTCTGAGGATGCCTGCCATAGGTATGGATGAAACATCAGGAGAGAATGCTTCTGGAACATGGCCATACAGCCCAGAAAACTCACAGCAACCCAGTGATTCTGGCCATGAAAGCCTTCGACAACACATACATAAATTGTAATAAAGAAATGTATGGGGACACAACATATCTCATTAAAATATTTCATTTATATATTTTTAAAAAATATGATTTATTGCTTATTTACATAAACTCAAAAGAGCCAAGTTGCGCAACACACTTACTAGATGTGGAACTCCCTGCCTAGGGATATTAGATCAGCCCATCCCTCCTGACCTTTCGAAAAAGAGTGAAAACCTGGCTCTTTGAACATGGGTTTGGAACCACAGCATTACCAGAAAAACTCAAATCAGAAAATGAACTTGGAACGGCTAAGATGAGAGTACGGTTGAGGATTTGAACAAGAAGACATCGTTTTTATAATTTTTATTATTCACTAGCTGTACCCGCGTTGCTGTGGCCAACCTTCCCTCTTTCTCCTCTTCTTTCCCTCCTTCCTTCACTCCCTCTTTCCTTCCTTCCTTCCTTCCTTCCTTCCTTCCTCCTTCCTCTTCCTTCCTTCCTTCCTTCCTTCCTTCTCTATCTCTTTCTTCCTTCCCCTTTTCTTTCGTGTTCATTTTCCACTACCTTTGCAGGTTTATGATCACACCAATTTTATAATTTTTATTATTCATTGCTTTTATGGTTTTTAAATGTATTGTGATGTTTTTGCTTTTTATTGATGTATGTATTTTTATATATGGCATCTAATTGTTGCCAACTTGTACGCCACCCTGAGTTGCCTTCGGGCTGATATAAATGTTGCAAGTAAATAAATTACATTGCAGCTGATACACTAACATGTGGCGAGATACAGTTTGGAAAGCTCTGCTCTACTGTATTACTATCCACAATGTCATTTACGGTTCCCATTTTGAATTGGTTTCTTTGTTGACCATTGGTTTTTTTTTAATTGTGCTAAGTAATGTATAGTTTCTAAAAAAATCAGCAATGCGATTGCGTGCCTTCAAGTCATTTAAGGAGTTCTGGACCCAAAGGAGTTTCCTTGGCAAGATTTATTCAGAGGGCTGAAAGCTTAACTCGCTTAAGATGGGTTTCAAACTTGGGCCCTCCAGGTGTTTTGGACTCCAACTCCCACAATTCCTAACAGCCTCAGGCCCCTTCCTTTCCCCCCTCAGCCGCTTAAGCGGCTGAGGGGGAAAGGAAAGGGCCTGAGGCTGTTAGGAATTGTGGGAGTTGGAGTCCAAAACACCTGGAGGGCCCAAGTTTGCCCATGCCTCATATAGTCTCTCTTACATACATGCACACATAAAGCACTCTTTTGTAAGTGTAATTTTTCAGTTGCTTAAGAATAGAAAACCTTTAAAGATGATATCAAAACTGAGGGATAAATCCAAACAAGGGTTTATTTACCTATGAAGAAAAGAAATGTATATTCTTGCGGAGTATTTTTGTTGTATATTTGTTAATACAAGCTTTATAATATTCTGTTTATTAAATAAAAGAGTATTATTCTTACATGTCTTGGTCATTAATGTCTGGAATTAGGTTCTTTGGACATCACAGAACAACGTATGCGCGAAGAACGGATTCTTAGGAAGGGAGGTTTGGGCACTCTTATGTGAACTAGTGCTTCTGGCCCAGCCTACCTGTCTGAACATATTGCCCCCTATGAACCATCATGGAGATTAAGATCATCTGGGGAGGCCCTGCTCTTGGTCCCACCTTATAATAATAATAATAATAATAATAATAATAATAATAAGGCCTAAAGATAGCACTCAGCTACAGAATAAACAAAAGCCTTTTGTCTCACCCTGGTCATTCCACAGATATATAAACCCCTTTTTCCCAGCTCCAGCAGACCTCACCTCTGAGGAAGCTTGCCATAGATGCAGGCGAAACGTCAGGAGAAATGCCTCTAGAACATGGCCATATAGCCCGAAAAAACCCACAAGAACTGGATAATAATAATAATAAATAAAAACTTTATTTATACCCTGCCACCATCTCCCCAAGGGGACTCGGAGCAGCTTACATGAGGCCAAGCCCGACAACACATCAGTAAAAACAAAAAGCAATAAGAAAATAAAACAATACAATTAATATAACTCACATATAAACAATAACACACAAAGATTTAAAAACCTATGGCCAAGCCAGATGTAATAGTTTTAAATTTAAAAAAAAATAAATGCTGGGCATGAACAGAGCTAGGTGGGGACGAGGGACAGGGCCTTCTCAGTGGTGGCCCCTCGGTTGTGGAACTCCCTCCCTAGCGTTAGCAGGACAGCCCCCTCCCTCTTAGTGTTTAGAAAGAGAGTCAAAACCTGGCTCTGGGAGCAGGTGTTTGAAAAATAGAGCAGTGAAGGAATGTTAGTATGGAATATGTGCAATTTGACTATGGATTGGCCTTTAGACTACGACTCTGGATGGCA